ATACATACTTTATTTTTGAAGGTTTGAAAATCAGATACATCAGCTTTAAAAGACACTTCATTTTGACCTTTTCGTTATATGTGAAGAATCCCTCAGTAGGTAGAATCCACGGCTCATCCAAGCTGCGAAACATCTTCAACCAAACTAACTTTAGTCCAGTGGACAAACTGAATGTTCTCCTCGCCTTTTTGTTATATGATGTAGACAGTGTTGGGGTGTAACAGATTACATGTACTGGAGTTACGTAATCAGAGTACAAATTATGAGTAACTGTTTTCAGTTACAGTTATTGTTTCAGTGAGTGGTAATTGGATTACAGTTACTTTGTTGAAATAAATGGATTACACAGTGGTATTTTCCTGTTTTCACATTATTTTTATTTATTTATTTATTTCCGGTAATTCCACTCATTGCTGGAAAATAAACCAGGTCTAAACCAGGTCTAAAACCAGGACTAAAACCAGGTCTAAACTAGATCTAAACCAGGACTAAAACCAGGTCTAAACTAGATCTAAACCAGGACTAAAACCAGGTCTAAACTAGATCCAAACTAGATCTAAACCAGGTGTAAACCAGGACTAAAACCAAGTCTAAACTAGATCTAAACCAGGACTAAAACCAGGTCTAAACTAGATCTAAACCAGGACTAAAACCAGGTCTAAACTAGATCTAAACCAGGACTAAAACCAGGTCTAAACTAGATCTAAACCAGGACTAAAACAGGATTTAACAGGACTAAATCATGCTGCGTGGACGTGTCTCCTCCTCTTCTATCAATAATATTTTTAATACGGTTAAGTATCCTAGTCTTTGCTTGTCTACAGCAAATCAAGCAATCCAAAGTATTCAGATTACGTTACTCACTTTAAGTAATTTAATGGATTCCGTTACAAACTACATTTTGGGGTATGTAATCTGTAATCTGTAGGAGAATACATTTTAAAAGTAACCTTCCCAACACTGGTTATAGAGTTGTTCACTCTCTGAAAACATAGCTGAAGTTTGCTTCTTTCACCATTCGCATTTTGCCCAAATTATTGCCTCACAGGTAAAAATATGAACTTTTAAACCCGTAAATGATCCCTGGACTCATTCTGTTGTCAAATAGTGTTCACACCAAACACATGGCTCTGTTAGCGCAGCATTCACAGGGGATAAGTAGGACTTCATTTGTTTACTTTCTCATTATTTCTTCCAGTCACTGACAGCAGAGGGCAATGCTTTAACTACACCTGGGGTGTGCAAAAGCAGAGATTATTTTAAGTTTGAAATGTGAAATACCCCAATGTGTCCATGCTTAAAAGATTTCTGATCTCTGCTCTATTGTTTCCTTATCACAAACAGACCTGGAGTTGTGTTTTGTTTTATTCACACATGTTTAACACACAAACCTGCACATTTAGACTGAGCTCTTCTCTCAAACTGAAAACACCACCACCTTATGATGTCATGTGGTTATACAGGAAGTGCCCCACTGTGTTTTTAATTTTCATACACCTTCACTAGAATCATTTGGATGATTTCATCTTGGAATTGCCAATCTGTACTGAAAAAAAAAAGGTTAAAGGAACTGTTAACTTGAAAACTACTGCTTCATGACATCACAAGGTGGAACAGAGCATTTCAAGCTTTTGAGATGTTTTAGCTAATAATCCAGGATTACTCAAACATATGTGTATGAAGCAAAACACAACTCCAGGTCTGTTTTGATGAAGTAACAACAGTCTATCATGGCTTAAAGTTCACAATAGTCAATGTAGTGAAATATAGGCCCTTTAAAATCCCCAGAATGCATAATGTGTTCTTTAAAACTTGTTGATGGACTTCTTCATCTTCTGTTTTGCACGCTCTTGTCTTGGCGCTACAAAAGAGTGGAGGTGTCTTGTATCTGTGTCCCTGATGTGACATGAATTATGTATAAGTCCCCAGCTCACCTCATCTCCTAATAATGCTAATAATAAAAGGCTTTGCAAGCTGCACTCACAAAACTTTCTGTGGCATAGAAAGAAACATGCAGCCAGGGTAACTCAAACTCCAACCCCAACAATACACTCAGACTTATCTCTAGATCTTTATCTAGAGAACTACATATTTCTATATCTATACAGTATAGCTAGGCCTATATACTGTATCTCTGCCTGTCTGTCCAGTGATTGACCTATGTATCTCTATGTATGTATGTATGTATGTATGTATGTATGTATGTATGTATGTATATATCTTTTATTTATCTTCTTCTTAATCTATCTATCTATCTATCTATCTATCTATCTATCTATCTATCTATCTATCTATCTATCTATCTATCTATCTATCTATCTATCTATCTATCTATCAGTAAATCAGTAAATCAGTATCATTTTGTTTGGGGAGTTTAAGCACATTGATAACTAAAATACAAAAATAGAAAGCTCAAACAATAGTCTCAGTGCAGCTCCACAGTTCGAGTCAGCAGATCCAGTGTGAGGGCAGTGTGGGGGGAGTAGCAGCCCTCAGGACAAAAGTGTCCCTCCTCTGTGTCCTCTGTGTCCTGCACATAGACTGTATATATACATGGACATAGCTAGCCTGAAATAACATTGTAATTTGTTTTTTGTTCTGTTCATTTGTTACAAAGAATGGCAGCATGGAGGCTGAGTGTCTAGCACTCATGCCTCACAGCAAGAAGATTCCGGGTTCGATCCCCGGGCCATTTCTGTGTGGACTTTGCATGTTTCTCCCCGTGTCTGCATGGGTTTCCTCCGGGAGCTCCGGTTTCCCCCATCAACCCAAAACATGCTGCAGGTCTCCAAGAACAGTTGATAGTCAAGGTCAGTTAAACACAAGCAATCAATGAAATCTGCCCAGGGACGACAGATGGAAATTAGCACTGATGCTACAACCTGGTACAATGCATCTCTCCTGTCGAGGTTGATGTGAAAATTGTGTGCTGTCCCTGTCTCAAAATAAATAAAATAAATAAATCGCTGAGAGCTGCATTGTTGCTGATTGTGTTTTTATTTTATTTTATTTTTTTTTTGTGAAACTTCTCGTCCAATCTCTGAAATAAATGTCTGAATTATTCAAATGCTTTTCTGAACACAAATGCTTTGCCCAGAGATATTACGAACAGTAGCGCTAACAAGTGCTGAAAATTGGATTGTGCTAACGTCCCAGGGCGCTACATGGAGCAGAATGAGAAGAACGGCTGCAAGTGAAATAAGTGAAGATGTAGGCCACCAGGACCAAACCGCAACTAAACTAGGGCTGAACCAGGACAGAAGCAGGACTGAACCAGGACTGCACAGAACCAAACAAATACCAACCTAGTGCTGCAATGTGGCCTTCTTATTACACCCCCATCTTCAAGAGTCTTAACCATCATCTCCTCAGTAACATATTTATAATTTAATTATTTTTAAAAAGCTCTACTATCAAAAGCTAAGTATTCATTAAAGAGTTGGTATTATGCAAAATCTTTTTTTTTGTTTTTGTTTAGCTTTCATACCGTGTTATAATGTTATTCCCTCATCAAAAACATGTCTGAAGAGGTTTTAGAGTCATCCATGCAAGTCTGAGTAATTAAATGATCTCTCCTGGGCCTCCCCCATTACAGCTGTACACCTGTAAGATTCTGTACAAGGCTCCGCCCACAAGCCTACATCACCCATGCTCCCACAAAACAATTCTCCATAAATATACAAAAACATGATACAAAACTGTACACAACAAGTTCACAAACCTGATGTGATGTGCAGTAGTTTCATTAGCAGGATGCATGTTGTGTTGTGATGGTACTCTGAAGGTGGAGTGACTTAGCACTGAGAGCAAAGGGAGGGAAGACTCAGAGCAAAGCAAACTTATAAAACATGTCAAAATGTTGTTTAAGCTGAAATAGCATAAACATGCTGATCAAAATATGTTCTGTGTTACAGTTCGAAGTAAATCCCTCCTCTTTAAGGAAGTGCAATTGTGAATTCTATTAATATACATATTTCATATTTTCCTGTATACATTTAAAATTTGTATTTACATTTATTGAGCAATACAAGCTGTTTTTGACAGTTCTTTTATTTTTAATAGCTTTACCTTATTATTAATTAACCTAATTATGACAACAATCGAAATACTATTAATAAAGTAATAATAATATAAAAAAATTATAACTTTTTCAAGAAGCTGTACTTCTAATAATTCTAATTTTAAAATCTTCCCCTGAGTAATATTTTCTGAAGTAACAAGTCTAAAAGTGACAAAAACTGTCAGATGACAAAAATACAAATTCTATTGAAATAAATATAAGTCTTTATGATTTATCTGGGCCATATTCACCGTCCATACATAATGAAAATATATGCTTTTATTGCAGTATTTATTTGAGTTACGTGGTGTTGCAAAGTGTTTGAGTGGGTGTGGTACACACCAGACTAGTAGAATATTTGGATAACATATTAGTACCCTAACAATATGGTTTTGGAAAAAAAAACAGGAGCTCATGTATGGCCAGTTCAGACCTTGTAGAGAAAATTAAGCAGTATGTGCATGTGGAGGCACAAAACTCACACACAAAAATCATTAAGATAAGACACAAGGATCCATTATAGAGCCACTCCTATTTATGATTTACATAAATTACTTTGTATTTTGATCCAGTCACATAAAATACTTTACGCTGATGACACATAAAGATCTGGACCAGTTAGAAAAACTTCTAAATGAGCACCTGGTCAAGGAAAATACTTGGTCTGAAAGCAACAAACATTTTAAAAAAACTTTTTTTTTTTATGTGCATTGTCTCTGATAAATAATATAATCTAAACTAAACTAAACTAAACTAAAGTAATCTAAAACATAAACCGAATTATTACATTTAGTTTTAAATCATCTTAAAAAACATTTCATTTTAAATCATTTTAAAAACCCACCGTATAAAAACCCACCATATATACGGTCTATGAAATCCACGCGTATTGGAAGAGGTTTTAGAAATCCGAGTTGCTTTTAAACGCGCCACAGCGCTGTCACGCGCTCCTTCGTTAGCAAACACAGGAGCTAGCACAAGAGCTAACTCGGAGCTGACATGAGTGCTGCGGTCGTGGTGCGGAGGTTAGCGGCTCTGTCCGGGGCTTCTGCGGTGGGACTGGGGGCGTACGGAGCTCACGGTACCGTCACACATCCGTTAACACTCAGTCCGTTATTACAGGCTTTTTATTTGTTGCTTTTAGCCCACAAGAAAGCTAAAAATACAAGACGTCAGTGCTGGCAAACCGGACTCCCTTCATAATAGTGTATACTAAAGATTGCATGTCGTATAAACGTGATCGTACGTGGAATAAAGAAATAATACGGGACTTTTTGAAGACTGTAAGATATAAAGGTTAATTCGGGTTCACTAAAATTGATTTAGATCTATGTTGTTCTTGTGATTGCTGAATAAGTTATGCAAAAGTTCAGATAACAAAGTGGTGGTTAATTATCTGATAAGCAACAAAACAAATAGTGTGAGTTGAAGTTTCGTGTTAACTCCCTTTTAAAAATCTTTAGTTACACGTTAAATGTTGTAAGGCACTAATCATATATGATACTGGAAAATTTTCTGCAGAATTATACTGTTATTGTTTGCTGAATTAAATTAATTTGCATATTTAATTCTCTATTTTTGCACAGGTTTCAAAAATACAGATCCTGATGACTACCAATTAATGGTAAGTAGCAACTTCAGTCAGGCTGAGTATTTTCTATACTAATGTTTAAAAATAGATGCATTTAAGTCACACAATTCTCTCTACATTATACATCATTCTACATGTTTGCCTATGGTGGACTGTTCAGCAGTTATCATGCACATATTTGTGAACACTGCCAAGAAAAGTTTTCAGATTGTCTGAAAACTCAAGAAAAAACACAAAAATGGATGTTGAACACATTTTCAGGAGCTTGTGATCAATAGGAGCGTTCATGGTCTTGTTTAGGAGTTTGATTTTTCTACTAAAAGGTGATAGTGTGAACTAGCACGTGATTGTAATTTTATGTGTGAGGGATGTATTTAACAGCACAAATCATCTCATCTGCCATAGTTCCAACAAAGCCAGCTCTTTAAGGTCGGTTCTTGTGTTTAAACAAAGCTCGGACTAAAGTCAAACTTGAGTAACAGAGCTTCAGACAGAGCAGAGCCTACAGTTAGCATTACATCCCGAGGGAATGTTGATAACAGCAGCTGCAAAGTATCAGTAGGTTATACACTGACATCATTTTACATGAAATCTCCATTGTATTATATTCCCTTCAAGTACAGGAGGAAATGTCCTAACTCACCACTGATCCTCGTGAACCTTTGCCTCAGTAATAAAGTTCCAAAGGTTGTGATCATGTCATCTGCATAACCTCTACTGAAAAAAACAGCTCCTCATCTCTTGTCCCCATCTGGGAGTATGGAATGGAAGATAATTTGTTTCATCAGATTTTGAATTTGAAATGCCGTTGAATTTCTCATTTTTAATTTTTTAACTCAAACAAGTTTGAATATTTTTTATTCTGAATGTCAGTTGCTGAAATTTTAAGTATACTTTTTCAAAAATGGTGCAGTGAAGCGATCTGAGTGGTCAAAATTCACCTCATCAAAACCTCATCTCTTTGATTTCTTAAGTTTAAACCCCCCCACAGATGAGAGCAGCCAATAGGAAACAGCCTCTGTCCTCCTCACTCACACAGGATCCATGCTTCTGCCTTGCCATTTTCACAGCAAATTTTATGCTTGAAATTTTGACTATTTAAAATGTGACATTTTTATTCTGAATTTGAAACATATTGAAAAATATGCTTAAAACTTCAGCAACTAAAAATCTGAATAAAATTAATTCATTTTTTACAGAATTCAAATTGAGAAATTCAGCGGCATTTAAAATTCAAAATCTGATGAAACAAATGATCTTTTCTAGTATGGCATCATTACATTCCAGAATCTGAAAAACACCAATACAACAAAATATTTATTTCTGTAGACTTATTTGAGCAACTACCACTTTAAATTGGCACTGTGTAACTTTTCTTGTGGAGGGTCCGTCAAATACTTTTCTCTGTGGAGCTCCATTTATTTATTGCTTTATCTGGAATGTTTCACAGTATGGCATTAAACCTGTCTATTTATCTTCATGGAGACCAAACCAGATCAAGTTCCAGGTCAGATCTGTGGAGAAGAATGCCAGATTTTAGGTATTTCTGAGCTCTAAAACCACCTGTAATCAAATGTACAGAATGAATGTTTAATGTCACACTGTGGAACATCCTGGGCAAAGCAATGACATCTCCATAGAAACAAGCAGGTGATGGATGCCCAACTAAAAAGCGACATAGTGCACCTTTAATATATGGTCAGTATTTTTGTTGCCACCCAAAAATACAACAGCAAAAAAAAAAAAAAAAAAAACTCACGAGAGACTGTTCTATCCAGAGTACAAAGTGAAAACAAAGTGTTCAACTCTTATCTAAGAACACTTTTAATATTGTTAACAGTAATTGTGAATAATGCATGAACATTACAGCACAATGTATTACTTGGCATGGTACAATTACAATCTAATAATATAATACAGATGGTTAATTAGCAGGTTTCTAGTGCTACCACGTATAATGTAATCAAATCTAATTAGCAACTTGAATAGGCACAATTATCAAACGGCAAAGGCTGCAGTTCTTTAGGTAATAGAATGTTCTCAGGAATAATTTATGAATAGAAATATGTCAAACGGATTGTTTAGACCTCAAACAAACTTCTGAAGTACACGGGATTCTTGTATTTCATATATTACTTTAGCACAGGGCTGTCAAACTCAAATTCACAGAGGACCAAAATTAAAAACTGTCGTGGGCCAAACTAAATATTTATTGAAAAATTTCAACAACATCTGCATGTTTTCTCTTCTTTTGAGATCTGTAATGTTAAACCTTTTCTTATTAAAATGAATGTTTAATAATAGTTTTGCCTAAACATTGAACCCAGAACAAGCAGAATATAAAATAAGAACATTTTAAGTCAATAATGTCTCTAGAGTCCATCTGTAGCCGGTGGGCAGTTCTAATACATATTTGATATGATCTTGCTGGCCAAATATAATTATATCATGGGCCAAATTTGGCCCCTGGGTCTGAGTTTGACATGTCTGCTTTATCAGTTTAAATTTCAGTCTTTCAGTCGACAGATGTTCACAGATTACATGTCTAGCATTCAAACTGCACAAATCTATCTATGTCAATGATATATCAGTATCCCGGTAATTAGCCATCTCCCAGTTATGGTAGTATTCGGGATACTGCGTTTACATGCACGCGGAGAAACCGGGATACTCATATTTGTGTATACATGATCAAATAGAGTATTCCGGTTTCTTGACATAATCTTACAAATGCACAAGCACAAAAATTAACCTAATTTAAGTTAATAAACCAGGAAAAATACAAACGGGAAGCTTGGGAGGTTATTTTAACAGATCCATGGGTTCTAACCAGAGACACGGAGCTATGACATATCCCACAATCCACTGCACCGATCAAACCCAACGTGTAGATTTTTTATTAAAATATTCTGCATAAATAAACTCAGCTTTATAAGATATGAACCATAACCACATTAGCCCGTTTGATAATGTAATTCAGCTTTGTCACATTTGTTTACGTTTTACTGAAACTAAGACTGCATGGCTAATTTGCATAAACTCTTAGCGCCGATTAAAAACAGCTTGCTCCTTGTGCCACTGATGTGGTTCAGCTTCTGTCGGACTAAAGGATACGACAATTTTTTTCTGTGACAGAGGAGGCGCTGATGATGGTGAGTGTGTTCTGTGTATATATCATGGAGGAGATGTTTCATGTTTAACTTTTCAGAGATCATACGTGTGCAGGTTGTACAAGTGCAGGTTTAGTGCAGCTCTTTATTTTACAGTCATTTCACTCATGTATGGTCACTTTATTTATGTCGCTGTTGTAGTGGTGTGTCATTAATGTGTGGTCATTGTTCTCCTTTAAGTTTTTGTGTTTCTTCTCTTGATAGTTGTGGATAAATTCTTCATGTTAGCATATTTATCCTTTTTGGAGCTTGTTGGTTGAAGATTTGGTGATGGGGCAGATTTATGAAGCTGCTGGAGAATACGACACACATTTACACACATATTTTGCAACAGAAAATTATTAATTGGAAGTTCAGCAAAACTACAGCGTGTCACTTCTGGCCGTTGTTAAAAAGTTCTATTTCATTTGGTTGGACTGTAACAGCAGTGGATCATGGTCTATGTAGTTCTCTCTCCCATGTGACAGGCCCTGACACTGAAATGCCGCAGTGGTTGTTACATCTCCATAAATGTCATCTTTGTTTTGTTTTGTTTTTCTTTTAGTTAATCATCGCATTTGTGTCTTTGTGTCCACAGCTTTTCGAAACGGCCAACAAGTACCACTTCTACCACAGCCTGGCCCTGCTGGGAGCGGCTCAGTGCAGACAGCCCGCCGTGGTGAGTGCCTGCAGAGTGTGAGGGCAAACATAATAGTGGAGGTTCACTGTACCATTGCTTTTTAAATGGATCTGGTGAAAAGGCTGGTTTCTAATCAAGGACAATGAAAACCAGTCTGTGAGAGAACTAGAAATGATGTAATATTCAGGCTTTTACAGTACATTTGGACAGCTTGGCAGTGCAAAAAGAAGTATTAAATTTTGCAAAAATTTACTCAAGTAACATAAAAGAACATCTACTTAAAGGTGTAAAATTGTGTAACTTTTCTTGTGGAGGGTCTGTCAAACGCTTCTCTCTATGGAGATGTTATTGCTTTGTCTGGAATGTGTCACAGTATGGCATTAAACCTTTTTATCTTCATGGAGACCAAACCAGACCAAGTTACAGGTCAGATCTGTGGAGAGGCGACTCCGTTCAGTCAGAATGCCTGTTTTTTTAGGAATTTTTGAAGTGATTCAGCCTCCACCAGAAAAATTACACAATGCACCTTGAAGTAAAAGTACTTCACATAGATTTTTGACAACTGTTAGTGTGTATTTCTGTTCCGATACCTATACTATCTGCTGGTCCCCGATATCAGCCGATACCAGGACAGACACTGAAAATAAAATGTATTCCCTTTAAACACAGTGTGTGATAAAAATGATCCAACTGAGTTTTGTACAGGGCAGCCGCGGGGTCTTAAAAGTCTTAAAGGTCTTAAATTTCATGTTCCTAAATTAAGGCCTTAAAAAGTCTTAAATTATGTTGTCCAAGTCAAATTTTTTTCCACAAACGTCTTAAATTTCATTAGCCTATTATTTTTATATACTCTCCTGGGCTGCAATGCAGTGTTAAATGGAGGGAGGAAAAAAACAACAACGTGAAATCATGTAACATGAATGAACGTCTAATTTGGAGTATGCACAAACAATACTCTGGTTTCTGGCGCCAGCGGTAAAGAGTAAACCATCAGTAGAGTGAACAACAATTTGTTGTTATTGAAAATGTTAAATGATTGAAGCACTTTAAAAGACAATGTGAGACAAGACAATGTGAAAGATTTGTTTGTCTTGTTAGAATGTTATAAATAATTTTTTGGCCATTTTGCAAGCAATGCGTAGGACTATAAATGAGTTCTGAATGAGATTTTATAATGAAAGTATTTTTTATTTAAAGCAGTGAGTAATGGTCATTATTACAATTGGATCTGGTGTTTTTCGCCTGCATAATGGGTGTGATGTTGGTCTTAATTTTCATTTAAGTGGTATTTAAAAGGTCTTAGAAAAGTCTTAAATTTGTGGTAGTCAAACCTGGGGATATCCTGTTGTAACGGTTGTGTTTGTGTTTGTCCAGTAAATCCTCTTATTACACCAGACCAAAATGGGATATCGACTGAACCAGTATCGGCACCTATATCGTATCGGTGCATCCCTAGTGGCAGCTGTATATGTAGTATATTTTTGTTTGCTCAAAGCTCAAACTTTAACTCTAAACCTTAAGTGTGGATGTTACCATGAATGTGCTAAAAAAAAAAACAACAACAACTCTCAAATCATCTGAAAAGTACTTTTCAATTTTTAGTCCAGACCTGCTGTTGTGAAGTTAAAATTTACTTAAAAGAAAAGTACATACACATAAAAATTTGCATCAAGGCGCTCTACCTGTTTGTACTGTCTTAAAAATGTGAACTTATAACTTTACAGTGATCCAAAGTTTTTGCTCACTTCCCTTTCATTCAGAGCAGCTGAATTATTCACTTTCAGACACAAGAGTGGAGACAACTACAGTGTGGATCGAACCAAATGTTTCTGTCCAAGCCAACCCAAGCCCGATAGGCATTATATATTATTATTATTGTTAGATATTTGTGTCTGAACCTGACACAATTAAAATCTCACTATTTTCATAGGCCTAATAAAACACGGAGGATATTGTTTGTGTGGCCTTTAAGAGACACAGAGGTACAAAATACAAACTCGGTAATCGGGATATAGAGAAAATAATGAGCAGACTTTATTCCTCACCTCTGGTAAAGTGGTAAATTTAAAGTGCAGCATCTCATCCACATTATCCACAGAAATTGTCCTCCGCAAATAATGACATCCAAACCACAAAACAGCACTGTGAATCCAGTTTGAAGCGTTATTTAAAAGTAATAAGAGGAAAGTAGCTCCTCATGTGTGTGTTTACATCCACACAGTGCACAGATCGAGGTGAAGCTGCAGATCAGCCATACTGACTCTATTTCCTGTGGACTTAATTGCCAATCTTTTATGCTTTACAAATCACGTATCTGAAATATTGCACCACATTTCACAAATATTCCACCACATTTCTGAATCTGTCAGACTTCATTCGGGTTTCCTTGCTTTAGAGGCAACAATTAGCATGCTAGCAATGTTTTAGAATTAGATGCAGACAGAACACAACAGTCTTATTTTGACCTGAAGAGCCACTTATACAATATTTCTATACTGGGACAGTTTTTGGTTTCGATATGATATCGGTAAAAGTGGCTTTGGAGCTGCCAATAGCCGTAAAAACATGTAAAAACTCACTGTAAACCTTCAACTGATTCTAAAACTTTGATTTTATTTTACTCAATTGGATTTTAAATCACACTTTGATAAAAACAGCTGTAGTTTTGTTGCTGGCCTAAACTGTGCTGAAGTTCACTTTTATTTATAGTAAATATTTTAGATCAGACACAAGTGCTGTCTCAGATCACACTGGGGTAAACAAGCACACGTGAGTGACGTAACTCTGGTGCGTTCAGGTGTAGTTCGGCTACACAGACACAGATAAATATTGATGCGGCGCCACACATTAGGACATTTATATGTCTGTAAATTGGATTAAATAGACATAATATTAGGGTGACCAAACGTCCGTTTTTCCCCGAACATGTCGCATCCTGTCCTGGATGTCCGGGTTTTTTTTCATAAAGTGATGTAAATGTCCGGGTTTTCATGATCTTTCATTGGGCCATTAAATTGAGCGTCTCTTGTAGCTCTCTGTAACTCAGAAGGAGCGAGCAGACACAAACAGTTAGTCAGTCTGCAACATGCTGAAGTGCAAATGTGCATTTAACAATGACATGTACAAGAAATTCTCCATTTTCCGTCCTGGTCGGGACAAGTGCGAGGCCATGTGCACAGTTTGCGAGGTGAGAGTAGCTCAATGTCGAGGCCCCACCCCCGGTAAAGTGTCCGGGTTTTCACAAACGGAAATATGGTCACCCTAGGTAATATAGAGTCTGAGCTTTATAACGAGGTATAACCTGCACACTAGACACACTGGACTATCGGTCTAGATCGGCAAGATTTAGGCTGATAGCCGATATGTCTTCAAGTGCTCATATCACCGATATATCGATCGGTCGGGCCCTAGTTTCTGTTTCCATTCCTCTCCAGTCTGGCTCTGCTTCTGTTGTAGGGAGTATTGTACCTCTGATGACATAAGCCAAGATAAAAGGTGCTGAGCTGGCAGTGTGGGGTGAGCACAGCACAGAAATGCTACAGTATCTCTATCAGTGACGCACATTTATCAAAGAAGACAACAGTAATGGATTCTAAAGCATAATATGTCTTTTTTGAACTTCTAAAATAGGACATTGAGAATGATACAAAAATCAGTTTTGGTTGACATATTTTCTTTTCTAAATGGTTGGTTGGCTTGTCTTCTTTCTCCTTTGCGCTCATCCAGAACAGGCCCTTTTGCAGACTTCACTTTTAATAATGCGAGATTTAAACAAAGAGGAGCGGTCAGGGGCCCTCTGTGGACAAGTGCACTTTGATCCAGCCCCAGCACAAAGGTTCAAAGGTGCGCATATGAAATAGAATATAGATTACCCTCATTAATATATACGCATGCTGTTATGGCCCCGCTCCTATAGATGTGTGCTGTGGGAGAGAAGGAGACGGGCGGAGAGAGGGATGGAGCGAAACAAAGCCAATTCTCATTCTACTATGACAATTCTGTACATTCACATTCACAACAGTAAGGCGAAAATATATTGTCATAGCACGAAAAATTGAATGAAAAATAAATGTAAATGATGAGTCTAGGTTGTCAAGAGTATCGAGAATCAGATATGAATCAAAACTAAAGCTATTATCAAAACTGGATACTCATTTTTCGAAGGTACCAATGCTAAAAAAGAAATAAAGCTTTCCTGAATCGCTTTAGAATGATCTGGAGCTGTATCAGAACAAGAATAACGGCACATAAACTAGTGTACACCCATGGACCTGGTTTAGACCTGATTTAGACCTGATTTAGACCTAGACCACTATGGAACCTACCTGGAGCACTGAGGATTACACACATATAAGGACACATGGGAATTAGGGATGGGCATGATTAATCGATTAATCGATAATTGATCATTAAGAATTTCATCGATTACGTAAATTTTAATCGACAAACCGAATGCAGGTTGCTGTGCGTAGCGTGACCAAACAGGTCTGTACATGTGTCTCTCTGCACTCAGAAGGAGCGAGCAAACACAAACAGTCGGTCAGCCTGCAGCGTACCGAAGCACAAATGTGTATTTAACGATGACTTGTACAAGAAATTCCACGCTTTCCGTTGCGTTCGGGACAAGTGTGAGGCCATGTGCACAGTGCACAAAGCAGGAACATATGTTTCGGTGTCCAGTGGGAAAAAGCTTTACCAGGTGAGAGTCGCTCAATGTCGATGACGAGGCCCCGCCCCCCTCCCCCCGTACGGTGTCCTGGTTTTGACAAACGCAAATATGGTCAAACTAACCTGTATTCACCTGAGTCATGTCTTTTAATCTGACAGAAATTGACCGCATCAGCGACACAAGAGCTGTATTTTTTTTTTATCTTCGCTGAGTTTATGCAAATTAGCGATGTGGTTTTAAGTTTTGTTTCTGTGAGAGTTGAACAAAACTGAATTAAACACATTATAATGTCAAACGGGCTGATGTGGCTCTAGAGTCGTTACGGTTTATATGTCGTAAAGTTGAATTTATTTATGCAGATTAGTAGTGCAGATAGTAATAATAATGATGATCATTTTAATATAAAAACGTTAATGATTAATTGATAATCGATCGTTAATTCTTCCGACGGTTGATTAAGAAAATTTCATCGAATGCCCATCCCTAATGGGAATAGAAAAAAAAGTACTAGCATTTAATGTGGAAAATGACAGGCTATTCTCTAAAGAAAGAATGAATGAAGAATGAAGAAGTTTTTTATTATCATCATGGTATTGGAATCAGTATTGAGTATCGAGTATAATTTGAAACTTTTATAACACTAGTCTCGATTTTTAGAGCTTATTCTTGCCATATTAACACTGCTTCTCTTCAGCAGGGGCCTCAAAAATCAGAAAAGAAATTAATGTTGTTCTATGCCTATTAGTGCTGCCTCAATATTAAAATTGATTTCAGTTCACTGGAAAAAGCCTGATACTTGATGCATTTAAGATAAAATTATTTTGATTTGTTCCACAATGGGAATAATTCAATGTTGCAATGCAAAGTTTCAAAAATGCCACATTATTTGACATAGAATAATTCTAGTTTCTTTAAAGGTGCACTGCGTAGCTTTTTGGTTAGGGGTCCGTCACCTGCTTGTTTCTATAGATACGTCATTGCTCTGCCTGGAATGTTCCACAGGATGACATTAAACATCTCTACCTTACATTTTTTTTAAACTACAGGTGGTTTTAGAGCTCAAAAAAACAACAACAAAAAACTATAAAAACGACATTCTGGCTGTGAGTGGGGTCGCCTCTCCACAGATCTGACCTGGAGCTTGTTCTGGTTTGGTCTCCATGAAGATGGAAAGGTTTAATGCCATACTGTGAAACATTCCAGAGGAAGCATCTCCATGGACAGAAGCATTTGATGGAGCCTCCACCAGAAAAGTTACACAATACACCTTTAAATAAATTCAGTGAGGAACCTTTAACCCTGGAACCTAGAAATGCATTGTTTGATTTTTTTCCTTTTTTTGTCTCCCCCAGGCTGGCACTCTGCTCGTCGCTGGGATGGGCTTGTTCTGCGGAGCTCTGTACCGCCAGGCGCTGACCGGGGAGGTGGCACCCAAGAAAGTGGCACCCGTGGGCGGTGTGGCCATGATCGCGGGGTGGTTGGCCATACTGCTGTGAACCTGCGAGCGTCTCCGTGACCATCGGCTCGACCTAAAGAACTGAACTAGAACTACGTGAATGACGCCCAACCGCTCCCATGGGTGTCATCGGGAGATAAGGTCACCCTGACGTTATCAGTACTTGTGCTTTGTGTTTAGCTGAGGCCAGTTGAATCAAAGGGACCTGTAGTCAATACGGAGTCAAACTGCTATGGCACTAATAAGAAATGTATTTTTTTGAGCATCACAATGAAGTTGAAATTCACTTTCTCAACAGCTAATACTTTTTATAGCTAGATTATACGAGCAGCTTTATTAAAATTTGAATAACAAGATTGCAGTTGTTTTGCCTTAAAAAGCTATTCATATAAGCTTTTTCCAAATGTAATCTGGTACTATTGCTTTAATTATAACCAAAATATCGTGATATCGTATCGTCAAAAGTCTCACAATAATATCATGGACCACCACAATATATCGAATCTCAAGTCTCGTTGCTTAAATTCATTGTTACGGTGCAGCAACAGCTAAAAAAAACAGTGAGAACTACATAGACCATGATCCGTGTCTCATTCGTTCATTCGTTTTTTTCCCAACCAAAATGAAAAAACAGATGTTGATTTGTTTTTTCAGTTTTCGATTTTGTGTTTAAATGAAAAATGGAAAAAACGGATAACGGACGTTTACGTGACTCCCCTGACTGTGATGCCGGACTTTTGCACTGCATACGGATTGAACCAGGACTGATCCAGGTCCGGGACCAGACTGGGACCGAGATCGGGACTGAGATCGGGACCAGACCGGGACCAGAGCAGACTCCGCAGGGTCCGAGCCTCAGCTTCGAGCTCTGGATCAGTCCTGGTTCAGTCCGTATGTGGCACAAAAGTCCGGCATCGCAGTCAGGGGGTCAAGTAAACGCTCGTTATCCATTTTTTCCATTTTTCATTTAAACACAAAATCGAAAACTGAAAAAACAAATAGTTATCTGTTTTTTTATTTTAGTTTTGGAGACATAATGAAGAAAACGGTTGTTTTTTTGTTTTCTTATTTTTGGTTTTATATTGAAAAACGAATGAACGAATGATACAGTCTACATGCTGAAATAAGTGTTATAAGCACTTTTAAAGCTTAGTTATTTGCATTATGACCAGAGAAAAGTAGCATACTCACACTTTTGTTCACCTCAACAAAATATCATACCGTGACATGCATATCGTGTAAATACGATATCGAGAGATTTGGATCTGGTTACATCTTTATTCTAAAGTGTATGATGTCCATGATCAGGATACAGATTTCTTTAGAGACTTAAATCTAATAATTTTGTGATGAAAACATTTGCACTAAGATCCAGTACTTTGTGATATGCCAAAACACGTGTACATTTGGAGTACATTTTTTGTTTTGAACAATTTACAATAAAGGGACAAATATTCTAAAGCTGAATGAATTATGATTTTTTTTTATTGTGAAATAATTTTGAGCTTTGAGGAAAATCATTTATTATGCAAATTAAAGTAACAGGTTATGACCATGGATCTATAATAACAACTGGATAAGCCCCTCCCCCTCTGTCCCGCCTACAGACAGACTAGTGGCCGCTCCAGGTACTGCAGCTTCCGGGAGCTTGGGCCCAGAAAGAATTCTCCCATAGAAGCACAATGCATTTTTTGGGAATTCAACCTGCCCGTGTTTGGCTGACAGGGCATCCACCACTTTCAAAAATAAAGTTTGCATTTTTTTCTCTGATGTCTGAAGCCTCCTCAGGTTTACTCCTACACTAAGTGGTTTTCTTTGGGACAACATTTAATATGACACATTTCATTGACAGCTGAAAAATGGAGAGGAATCAAGGAGAAGGAAGCGAGGAAAGAGAAATGAGACACAGCCATTGTTTCTTGATTGGTGTACAACCAATTTAGTATTGCAGTACTACAGTATGTCCCAGATAAGTGTAAGTATAAATGCATGCACAATCACTGTCATAAGGTGGAACATTCGTGGCATTTCCATGGAGACAAACTGGATGTCAGACCTTCCACCAAAAACAGGATTACTATTTTGAATCAAAGTTCAAAGTTAGCTTTATTGTCAATTTCTTCACATGTACTTGATAAACAAAGGAACGTAGATGACAACTGGGAGAGTGAGAGGCCGTTACGTCTGCACGCGCCGCCATTCAAATCGTAACGCCATTCAAGTTTTGCTGCAGCCGACTGTTGCAGTTGTGTCCTTTATGTCTCAGTCAAAGGTCTCAGGTCAGTTTCACAGGAGGACTGGTCAGGGAGGGTCAGCAGATCCTGTGGAAGAGATAAACATGTCCCTCCTCTGTGTCCTGCAGCATCACAGCAGCCTCCAGGGGGCACAAGGTGAACACAACAGGAAAGTAAATTCTTACTCCGCTCTGGTGTTAAAATGGTCCATTCCCTCAAAATGTTTTCTCTGGATCCATACCCATTTCAAAGTGGCTGTACTACTTTTTTTTTCTGTGTAGCAAAGTTAGTTTTACCCCAGTACAGATATATTGCATAAGCAGTTGAGGTAGAAATGACACCACTGTGTACTGTCTGCATTTAATGAATCAGGAAGTGTGTGTTTACCATGATAGTTGCTGTTGTTAGCGCTACTGTGAAGGCAAAACTCCCCTCTGGTTTCTAAAAGTTGTGAAACACGCTGATAAACTCATCACGGTGATGAATTATTATGCTCAGAATGCCTAAGGTAAGTGAGGAAGAACTTTGTACCACTGCAAACTAAAGCCTTGTTCACACGAGATTAGTTTGACCTGTGGATCTTTGGTGATTTGTAATAATTGTGGAGGAAGCCTGAGATCTTAATCTCGTGCCAATGTGCCATATCTGTAATTTGTAAAGTAAAAATTCCGCCACAAATGCTCAAGTATGTCTGGCGATACTAGTCCTGTGCGAATCTGCTTCTCGGTGTTTGTTGTTGTAATTGCACCTTTTCGATCTCTTTCTTTTCTTTCCGTGTTCTTTTCTCTTTCAATCTCTGTCAATGTCATTAAAATAGAATCATTTACGGACTTATCTGAACACAGAGGTGGGGTGGTAATTTGCAAATGACCAGACGTTCCCATGTTGTACTTATCCCGTGCGAATAGGACTTCTGAGAGTAAAAATCATTTACAGCTCCTTTAACTTGAATATTTCTTATTCCATTGCACAGACAGCACAAGACTGACGCTCTGTAAAGGCCACAGAACATTCCTATATATGTTTCATAGGAGTTTCCGGCCCAGAGGAACTGAATTGACTCTGCCTCGCTTCGCTCACGACTCCTCACATCATCATCAAGTCTGAGAAGCGCTGCCATATTTTGTGAACATCTAAATCACAGTTCACTTCACAGACATTTGCGTTGGATTGCTAACAACTTCCAGGTGATTTTAGGAAGTTGCTGTATTCTGAGACTGGATAAAGAAGTGGACTGAGCGAGTGTGACGTCACCACAGTGTATCAGCTTCAGCCAAATGAAGCTCATAGCGGCCGGCCGTTACAGGGGCGAATTTGGAGCGGAGTTTAATATTTGGAATTCCACACGCGAGTATCATGGCAAAAAGCCAATCGGGACCGAGGCTACTGAAGGTGACGCCCCTTCTCGCTTAGCTACGCTGTCAATCAACCTGTTGCTGAACTAACGCCAGCGGGAGTGACGTCTGGAAAAGAAGGTGCCTGACTGGTCTGTTATGAATGTTTATATCTTGATTTACAGTCAAAATAGAGAAACAAAACACCAGGATACAGTAGAGCAGATGAATACAAATATTTTAAGCTCAAAATGAGGAGTTTGACAGCAGCAGTTACGGAGAGAGGAGCGACGGTCTTTCAATACAAAGAGCCAGAGTCAGTGGACAGGAAACTCGTCCATACTTACTTCCTGTTATTTTATTGGAACACGACGGCTAGCAGGTTAACTGTGTCCATTTAAATATAGTCTATGATACTACCACAAAAAGACTAGCCTGGGATCCAGAACACACACTTCACACTTCAGAACAGTGGAAAGTTACTTTAAAAAAGTAGTGTTTGCTCGTTACTTCTTTAAAACGTCGTCCCTTATTTTACTTAGTTACCCTCTATGAAAAATAACTTTTTACGTTACTCTTTACTTTTTGGTGGTAAACTCCATCTAAGGGTAAAATCGGCATGAGACTGATAGTCAACAAGAACTGTAAGGGAACGCTGAAAAGATCTTTGAAGACAGAGTTCAAGAGGACATGAAAGCGTTCAGAGGTAAACGGGTGGGATCTGTGCAGTCTGCCGGGGGGATTCAACTCAGCGGCTAAGGGATGGTCATTTGGTGCAGGAGGATCTCTGCAAGGGTCCTCTCCCCACTTCCTTTGAGGCGGTGTGCCGCGACTGGCTCTGGGTCAGCCAGGAAAGGCTTAACGCGAGCTCTATAGCTCCTCCCACCAGGACCTCGCCGCTTCCTGGAGCCATGAGATCACTGCCCACTGCATCCTCTGCACCTGGGCGAGGATGGGCGCCCCCTGCTCCCGGTGTGACTGTCAACTAGGCTGGACTGTCTTTCCCAACTGCGTCACGCTGCCAGGGCAGAGACGGCCCACGTACACAGAAAAGTAATGTTGCACTGAATTGAAAAAAAACCAACAGTTTCATCACCAAATTTTCAATTGTAGAGCGTTATTTTTACCTGAAAAAAGTAGTAACATTACTCTAAGTAGTTACATTACACCCAGTTCTGGTCACCAGTGAATCTCCCTTCACATGGTGTGATTGATTGTGTCCATATCAAAACAAATATGGCTGATTACCAGAAAAAAGAAGAGAGGTGAGAGAATATTAGGGGACTAATGAGCTCCTTCATTTCACATGTTCCACTGAAATAAACACACCTGATTGGACAGTGGTGTTTGTGCCTGGATTGAGATGCAACAGAGGGAGAGGTGACCAGACTGATCTCACTCTGTACAAAAATACTCAGAAATACCAGTCTGGACTTGCCAGGCAACAGGAATACAGTTAGTCAACATTAGTATTCTGCATGTGTTTTTGGTAAATGTACATGACCAGTCAAAGGTTTGGACACAGCCTCTCATTTGTAAATATTTTTTTACGTCTTTCTACATTTTAGATACATAGAGAAGACATCAAATACATGAAATAAATGTATGGAATTATGCAGCAAAGCACACAACTTAAATCACACCTCACCTAAATATGTTTTATATATTAGATTCAAATCCTCAAAATATCCACGATTTACTTTGTGGACTGTGCTGTAAACCCTTGGCCTTCTCTCATTGATCTTCTGGATGGAGTCTTCTGAAATGGTTTTCACTTCACAGCTGTGCCACGTCAGGGTCAAGAAATGACAAAAGTGCAAACCAGGACTCAAATCAAAGATCGACAAGTATGTATGAGTTATGCTGAGATGCTACGAAAGAATCTACAATGCAAATAATCATGGAAATAAAGAAGAAACACAAATAAAAAAGTGTTCCCAAACTTTTGACTGGTCGTGTACAGTTACTTCGCTCATTATCGGAGTTTCCAACCCAAAGAAACTTGAATTAACTTTGCTTTGGTCACGACTCCTCCTCACCTCCTCATCATGTCCTCACCTCCTCATCATAAAGTCTGAAAAGCTCCGCGTTATTTCCGAGAACTCCCAACAGCCCAATCACGCGTTTCTCACTCAAATTCGCACGAGAAAAGTTCCCGAGTGCGTGTGCGGATGATTCAGACGACAGCTCCTTTACAGTTCGTCAGCTCGCGGAGATGAGACAGGCCAGGTTTAATTTAGCGTCCCTGTTGGCTCCTCGCTCACACGGATGGCAGTTGGCATCTCCATAAGGAAACTG